TACCCTGCATGGCCATGGTGGTACCTTTGAAATCTTTTTTTTTTTTTTCTTTTTTTTAACCGATGTCACGCTGTTGATATCCAAGTTATTGATCATCCCCTCGGACGTAAATGGGCTAACACTACTTTAGCTATAGTAATGTTAGCTCATTTGTTTCCAAGGGATTATTTGATGTTTATATGCTGATATTATAGATAGAGTATCTTATATTTCTTGTGACATAATTTTATCCTTTGTTTGTATTTGTTTTTAAACTATAAGGGTATGTCAATGCCTTGTTAAATTTTAGCATTAAGAATACCTTTCATCTCTGTCTGAGAAGAGCCCCTAAATGTTGTGCTGCATTAGCAGATGTGTCAGTTTCACTTCCTCCCCTTGTCACTTGTATCAGTGTGTTATCATCAGAGATGAAATCTAATTCTGGCTTTTTTTCCCACTAAAATTTCATTAATTTTGTATAATGTAACACTTAAATGATATTGTAAAAAAAAAAAGTTGTTTTTTTTTTGTCAAGAAAAAAAAAGGAGCTGTACACTTAAAGAATTTCTATTATATAATTGATCCTTTTATATTTGAAATAGTTTAAAAACCACAAAATATCAAACACTTAACAAAATAGTTTTCATTTTTGCCATAGCAAATCCTGCATCATATGATTAAACATAAAGTTACTATATATAGGTAAGATTTTAATTTTTTAATTCTTTTCAGCAGTTGTTGGGTAATATAAAATTCTGTAGGAATTTGTTCTGTAGGCATATGTGAGGTATTTGAACATCTCTATTGGTACTTACTGAACTTTGGACATAGTAAGTCGCTAGACTTTGCTGTGTCACTTTAGCATCTCTAATATTGATGAGAGTTTTAAACTGTTCAGCTGATTTTGAAATGTTACAAACTAAATGATAAATATTGATTTTGGGTTACATTGGCTCTGTTGAAATGGTTACATTGCACTACTCAAAGCTGTGGGTGGGCTCAGTAGCTAGTTTTTAATTTCTCTTCATATCTGTGATAATATTGTTAGGAAAAGTCTGAGAAAAAATAATTGATTTCATTGTGATATACTTAGTAGTTGTGACAACATAGGCCATACAACGGAGAACAGAGTTTATTTTTAAGTTTTGTATGCATGCATAAAATATTGGTGTTTTTAAATGAAAAGAAATCTGCCAGTAGGTGGTTCACGGATAAAATAAAATAAACAAATGCGCTGACTGAACAAGTCAGGTAAACAAGCCTGTGCTCCCAGCTTGACCAATAAAACAGGTGTTTCCCTCATACTCAACATTTTGTTCTTGGAGATAAGGAAAGGAATGAGTCTTAAAGAAAATTAACCTAAAGCCAACAAAAGTAAAAGGCATCAAGATGCTGGAATGATTGCACTGTGTTAATTGTTTAGATATGGTAGATGTGTGAAGACTAAACAAATATGGTGTATGAATCTGATTAAAAACAAACTCACTAGCGCAGTAAAGATTTATTATATTTAAGAAATTTTACTGAATGCAACAAAAATTGTTGCTTAAATGCTGGTTCATCAATTTGTCTTCATACGTTTTATTCATGATTAAAATAATCCCACCCGTGAAAAATTAACATAAGGAACAAAACAGGTTTCCAGAATTTGATTTTTTTTAAATATAAAATTTTGAATCATGTGCTTTGGTTAGGACAGTTTTAGTTGTTTTTTTTTATCAACCTGGTGTGGTTCAAAAGTTTTTTCTTTGGCCTTTATTTTTTCATGAAAATTTTCAAAATAAATTAGTTGAGCCAATTTGTTGACAGTGTACATTCAAATCCATTCTCATTCACCCATACAGCTATATATATATATATATATATATATATATATATATATTATATATATGATTTATTTTAAACATTTTTAAAAAAAAAGTGTTTCAGTTGTTTAATATTCTGTTGTTGGCTCTTTGTTAAATAAATATTCATTATGCATAGATTTATAAGTGTATAGTTTTTATTTTATTATGTGAATGCATGAACCTACTGGTCTATTAAATATGATGGCTTGACTTGAATAAAGTATTTCCAGTGGATAAACAATGGTTGCAGCCAAATCTAATGCTTTTTAAATTATAAATATCACCACCTTCCTATAAATTTAATAAATAATAATTAGACAAAAATCCAGTTCAGTATCGTACAAGCTCTCTTGCCACTACAATTCCATTTAGTCTATTTCTAGTTTTAATCAGATTGTATCTACTTATCATGGTTCAATATATTTTAACACTAAGTGCATACAAATGCTACAAGATGGACACAAAAATTTGGTGGGAAAAAATTAAATGGGAGATTCAGCTCCTTGACAAATTAAGTTGGTAAAAATGGTTTAAAAATAAAAGTAGGTAAACAAGAATGAAAAACGCAAGAGAAGTATTGCTAAATAATTGTTTAATTAAATATTTCTTTTACTTTTTAAAAAAGATGTAATAAGAAGTCAACAAATTTGTAGATGAGACGATTCTCATCTTCTGATATTCAATAATTTGGGCCCAGTTACATTTTTGACAAAAAACTAATCTGATTTTGGCTATTAGATGATCAGCAGCGTTAAAATATACTAATAAATTGTTAAGGTTGACGAAAGAAAGAAATTAAAAGGATGAGCCTCAACAAAAAAAACATTCATTGTCTACTCATAGGAACATATCTAACGTTTGAAGATCTGTGCTTGATACCATCTTAGTTTTATCAAAATCATAATGACCAAATAAGTCACAGGAGGTAGGAGTGGTTGGTTAGGGCATTTTAAAACAAGAAACAGTTGGATACTATAACTAGTCACAATTTAACAACTTGTATAAATCTTCAAAAAAGTGGCAGGAAATTTTTTTTTATGGATCCTTTCTAATTTCTATCATTATTTTAATGAGTCTCAAATCTCACGCTCTCCAGAAGTCTTAATTCTAAATAATAATTATTTATTTTTGTTTGTTTTTTAAACTAAAACATGAATAAAACCATACTACAGATGGTAACCCCTGTAGTAAAGCAGTCACACATTTTTTGCCCAACCCTGAACTATATTAATATTTTAATGTCCCAACTCTGAACTATATTATTAATATTCTAATGTACACAATTTACTTCATTTTCTATTTCAAAAAGTTCATCGCTTATTAATTATTTCCGCATTTTTAAAGAATATGGTTATCTATTTTAAAATTAATATATGTTCCAAAGTTCAATGTGTAACATAATCGGGTTTGGAGGTGCTGATATTATAATGTATCCCCTCACCAAATTTTCCTCGGCCTTATATGTACACATTTTCTTGAAATATTGAAAAATATTTTCTTGATCAGCTTTTTCCTATTTTAACAATTTAACATCAATTTCGCATTCTTTCCTTTTATAAATGTAATTAAGTGATAAATGTTTGGAATGAAAATAGCACAACTTATTAAATGGTCAAGATACAAAGATTAAATTTTCTATGGTGGGTTAAAACAATAGCAATTTAAAAAAGCAAGCACTATATTTATATTTAAAAGTTGAAGAAAAAAAACAACAGTTTGGTCATGTGATTAAAACCAAGAAAATTTAATGGTGATTAGCAGGTCATTTGAGCTATTAACATTTATTTAGATTTAATCATAAGACAGTATAGCAAGATTGTCTTAGTTTAAAGTTAAAGCGCTTTAATGTAGGGGTGAAAAACAATTTTACACTTTAATTTAGGTTATAGTTAAAAATATAATAGAATGATTTTTATACAAAATACAATCTCACATTGAGATTAACACTTGAACTACTATAATTTTTAGATTAAATTTGCCTTCAACTTAATAATAGTTATACACAGATAATAGTTTTTTGCTTTATTAGGCACTTCGGGGAAACCTGAAAATCTGGTTCCGTAATTTCTGTGTAAATTGTATAAAAATATACTTAAAATAATTCTATAATTATTATATTAGATTTATTTCTAATTTAGAATAATACGTTTATAATAAAGATTACATATATTTACACATAAGCATATTTATTTTATAGGATTTAAATAGATTTGATTTCGTTATAATAAAAAAAGTACTTTTATTGTTTTTAAGAAATCCCATTAGTGCAGCAACTTTAGGTTTTGCGTTTATTGAACACAAATTTACAATAGGTGCAATTATAGGGAATTTTATAATGTAGGATATTGAAATCAAAGATATATGGTCACATTAGCTTACTCTTATATATATCCAGTACCACTAGACTAGTACCACCCAATGATGTCATTTTTTCCCAAAATATTATTGTGCAGTGATGCATAATAATTAATTTAAAAATATTGGCCCTTCAGGCTAAGTTCAATCCACAAATTGATTAGCTTAGTACTACTGGGCCATGACTGACATACATAAGGGAAACATTAAAAAAAAATATATATATTTAAATATACAGGTCCCAATGAAAAATAAGTTTTAATGAGGTGAGAAAAAAATTATTATTATCAAGGAGTTATTTCTGTTATGCACTAATCATAAAGGAGTACTTAGTAATGTTATGCTCTAATCGGTCCGGAAACATCTTTAAAACTCATCAATATGAAATAACATTAACAGATTTTGACCATTTTTGGGGGCCTCCTACATTGTATTACAACAAATGCAAAGAATGTAAATTTTTGTTAAAAAGCACATAGAAAAAAACAGACTACCTAGCCCGTGAAAAAATTGCTATGCTGAATGAATACAACTAAATATATAATAATGTGAACATGTAGCTCCAATAATATATGACACATTATTTGTGGGATAAAAATCCACTGGAAAATGTCTATGGTGTAGACCCAACAAAAACTGATTCATGAACACAACATTTTGAATTTGTTCAACTTAAAACATTTCATGTTCTGTAAATACGATTTAGAATATCTGCAGCATGTTCAACAAAATCTAAATCCATTCTAGGAAAGAATTTAAACATAGCTACCATGTAAAATTTAAGTATAAACTAAAAACTTTGTAAGTACAGTCCTGCTGCTACATAGCTCCTGCAGATTTTGCCAAGCCATAAAAGCGACTATCCTCTTGATTGAGCAAAGCTTGGGGGCTGTCAAATTCTACAATATTGCCGTTGTCTAGGACCAAAACCCTGAAATATAGTGAATTGATCAATGATAGCATTCCATGTTATCAGTGACAGAGAGTGGGACTAACATTATAAAAGCTCAAAGAGATATTTGCTTGGAAAATAAACACAATTTCAAATATCATTATTTTTTTATTGCACAGTTATAGTTTCAAGGAATATTTATCAAGAATCAGTGTAGTATTTGAGCTTACTCAATATTTTAGATGTTTAATTGCACTGTCAAAAAGTGTGGAACAAACTAATGAGATTTATTTTGACTTACCTATCACAATCTAGGATGGTGTGAATACGATGAGCAATGGTGATGGTCGTACAGTGTTTGAACACCCGCCTGACTGTATTGAGCACCAAACTATCCGTCTCTATGTCCACAGAAGATGTGGGCTCATCCATCACAAGAATCTTGCTTCTTCGAAGAAGGGCTCTGGTCAAGCAGAGCAACTGTCTCTGCCCGGAACTGAATGATGAGTTGATGTCAGATTGTAAATTACATTTTATATTAGATTGCACTACTTTTGTCTCGTTTGTGTGTAATTAGTAAATAGCTCAATGCCCAGAAGTCAACAAACTATACTAATATACTCTAATGAGCTTTAAGGCGGACTTAAAATTTGTTAACCAGACTTAAAACTATTCCCAGAGAAAATAAAAATTGAAAAACTTTGAAATTAAACAGAGAATAAAAAATATTTTTAAAACTTTTAAAGAAAGTCTTTATTTTTGCATAATGTAATGAATTTTACAAAGGTTTCAAACTGACGCGCCTCATTAATTTTCAAGTAGAAAGGAAGTCTTTAAAAAGATTTCAGGAGAGTTGGACGAACTTGGAGTTGCCAGTGTAAACTATCAATATTTAGTCTTTACAATAATACACAGGAACCAAACTGGCTCACCTAAAGTTGATTCCATTTTCTCCAACCTCTGAGTCAAGTCCAGCTGGCATAGTAGAGACAACATGCTTTAGATGGGACATGGACAGCGCTGACCAGATTTCTTGATCAAGGTAAGCTCCACTAGGATCTAAATTCATCCTCAGAGTGCCAGATAGGATGACAGGATCCTTGAAGTAAATAATGCTACCTTAAGTATGTAAAACTTACAAGAGATAAATACGGGCTATTGAAAACTGCTTAAATGTGCATAAGCACTCTCTAAGATTGCCAATCCAAATTTAAAGGCTCTAAAATTGATTAGACATGGATTTGTATTGACAAAATAATAGAACTAAGGTCTTGAAGTCACACAGTGCCTAGGGGCATTAAGTAGTATGAACTTGCCCCTGAATGAGCTACACAAATTTAAAAAAATTATTAGACTTTATTCAATCAACTCCAAATTCATCATTTAACACTGAAACCAGATTAGTGCAGCAAATGAGTTATATTCTATTTAAATTTAGAAAACTATGAGATTTATTGACAGACTGATAAGTCATGTATTATTGTCTTAAGACAGACAGGTACTTCGGGAATCCAATAACAGGACACTTAAATTTTTAGCGTCCTGCAGTGGCATATGCAAGTTAAGAAATGAAAGGGCTTTTTCTAATCTCAATGAAAGCATGAAATTGTAGTCCACAAATAGATCCCTTTAAATACAACTTAAAAGTCAGGCATATTTTATTGATTATTTTTTTTTAAATTTAAAGAGGAGTGGTATTTAAGGATCTATCATTAATAGTCTATTGCCAAAAAATATTTATGAATATATCTCTACTAAACCTAATTAATTTAATTAGTTTCAAAGTACTGCTGCCAGCCAGCAGCCACTTTCTGGCACACCGTCACAGGTAATAACAATATTATTTAGATAAACTCATGATGAAAAATTATGTTTTAAGTTAAAAATCTCATTATTTTTTTGTCTCTTCAAATTCATCACAACTTAAAAATGTTGATACGAATTACCATGCCATTATTTAAAATAATAAAATATAATTTACAACAACTTAACTTACTTGTGGCAGTATAGTCAACCTGGACCTAAGATCATAAAGGCCAACAACTGATATATTGATGTTGTCAATGATGATCTCCCCTTCAGTAGCCTCTATGAGCCTGAACAGAGCCAATGTTAAAGAGGATTTCCCAGCTCCTGTACGTCCAACAATACCAACCTTTTAAAAAAAAACACAGATCAATGTATGGCATTGATTATACAGCAAGATATTCTATACCTGAATTAACCTGATCTAAGCAACACAGACGGTCAGTAACAATATAATTAGTTGATTTCTATTAAACTTGTAAAAGGTAGGCCCATATCAAAAGTTACTTTCACAAATGTTTCCTAAAGATTATTGTCTTTTCTTTGATGTGCTTTTTTTTTGTAGGATTCTTATTCCAGTGATGTATTACAAAGGTAAAATAGGTACTTGAGCAGTGCTATTTTGTAGTGCACTAATGGAGGGTATGTCCATCCAGAGGTATTTTGTAAATTCCAGGAGGGGGTTTAATATAGAGATATTAAAATAATATTGGAAAATAAAGGGGACCGAAGTGATTGCAATAGCTACCGAGGAATTTCTCTCCTTGGCTTAGTTGGAAAGACTTTTGCCCATGTTGCCCTTAAAAAATTGCAGAGTCTGGCGAAATGCATCTACCCAGAGTCCAAGTGTGGCTTCCGGAGTGGGTGCTCTACAATAGACATGATATTCTCGTTACGCCAAATGCAGGAGAAATTTCATGAACAGCATATGTCTCTGTATATTGCTTTCATAGACCTGACAAAGGCATTTGACTTGTTAAGTCGGAGAGGCCTTTTCAGTATCTTGCAAAAAATATGTTGTCCCCCATGACTGCTCCCAATCATACAGTCATTTCACAAAAACATGCACAGCACAGTAACCTTCAATGGCGCTGTCTCTGAGTCATTCCCAGTCAGCAGCAGAGTAAAACAGGGTTGTGTACTGGCACCAACGCTCTCCTCCATTTTCTTCTCGATGCTCCTTCAATTTGCCTTCAGGGACTGTGAAGATGGAGTGTACGTCCATACCAGATCTGATGGTAGGCTGTTCAATATCGCCCGCCTTCGTGCAAAGACCAAAGTAAAAAAGGTGTTTATTCATGAACTGCTGTTTGCTGATGATGCTGCCTTAACATCTCACACAGAAGAAGGTCTTCAGGCGCTGGTTAATCGTCTATCACACGCTTGTAAAGAGTTTGGACTTCCGATTAGTCTACAGAAAACACATGTAAAGATGCAAGAAGCACTGTCCCTCCAATTATATCTATTGAGGGTCATAATCTTTCAGTTGTTGAGCATTTCACATACCTTGGATCCAATATTTCTAGTTCTCTCTCCGTTGATGAAGAGATAAATATGAAGATCGCAAAAGCAGCAGAAACTATGGCTACACTGAATAAGCAGGTAAGTGTCTATCAGGCATGTGTGCTTAGTACTCCTATATGGTAGCCAAGTGTGGAACACATACCAGTCAGGAGCGGAAACTCAACAGCTTTCATCAAAGATGTCTGTGTCGTATTTTACACATTTGATGGAAGGCCGTATCACAAAGATGATGATGTATGGAGAGTTGGCAGAAGGGTCAAGACTTATTGGATGGCCACCGCCTTAGATTTATGGACGTTTGCAAAAGGAGCATGAGGGAAGCCAATATTGAAAACAGCGAATGGGAGCTCATTGCCAAACAACATTCCAGCTGGCCAACAGCAGTGTATGAAGGAGTAAAAAAGGCAGAAGATAATGCGAAACGAGGCCCTTGCAACACAAAGAACAATATGGAAGTCAAAATCTTGCAAGAAATCAATATTCTTCTGCGAGAAATGCAGTCGATATTGTCACTCTAGGATTGGCCTAGTGAGCCACTCATCGAGGTGTAGGACTACATAGCTACTCTATCGTCTCGCAAAGACGAAAGGATGCCATACATCCATACATTGGAAAATCTAACAGTTATCTCCAAGTCGACCAAGTGATAATGGGAAAAGTTTTTAGAAAACTCGAATAATCTTTCATATATTTGCCTCTAAACGTTTTCCTAACCCATCAGAATTGTAGTTTTTGTGTCACATCCATGCACATCCACTAGGAAATAGGAACACTGGTGGACGCCCAAACTCAATGGTCCCCCTGGAAGCATCCTATTGTTTAATTCATAACAGATCCGATGATATACTTACCTTTTCTCCAGCTTTGATAACACAGTTGATCTGTTTGAGAACAGGATCAAGTCCCATCCTGTAGCTTGTTGTGTACTGTTGGATGACAAGCTCTCCTCTCTCTGGCCAATCAGGTGGCGGTCTGACATTTGTGTAGCGTGGGGCCTTGTTTTTAAAAAAAATGTCACTCATGTTGAAACACACTTGTACATGTCTAACAAAAAAATGAGTGAATAAGAGATAGCTTTTAAGCCCCCTGACCTAAGGAGACGAGTATACTTTTTATCTACTTGATTTAAGTTTTATATGAACAACTTTTTTTTAATAATCAATCTACAAATTAATTATCCTAAAACTGTTGTAAATGTTGATAATGTGTATTCTCAGCAAGTACAAATTCTCAACAATTTTAAGATGCACGCAAGTTAAAGCATCTAAACTAAGACTGACCTCTTGTACTGTATTCATGTATTCCTGAACCCTCTCAACACTGACAACATTAGTTTCCAGGTCACTCATTGACCTCACCAGCCACTTGAGAGCTTGAGTGATCTGTCAATTGTTTGTATTATTAAATGTTAAAATTTTCCTTAAATTATACTTGCAATACCCAAAATGATCATAAAATTAGAAAAAGATATGAATGTCACTTTTAGCTGAACAAAAACCATATTAATGCAAAGAAATATTGTTAAGAGTATAACAAATATTTTGTCACTGACAAAATTTTGATTTACCAACTTTCTATTAAATGTAGGAGGTATATGATGTATACATATTTAATTTGATAACAAATATAAATATATATATTTGTAATATTTGTTATCAAATTAAATGTTTATAATTATAAGTCTTAGAGCTGAAACTTTGTAAACATTTTATCCTCAAATGAAGATTTATTTAATCTTTCAAAATTTGATGGAGCCACATTTACCAATTTTATTTTTGTCATCCACAAAAATATTGCGGTACATCTTAATTAGTAAGTATTTTTTGCTGCTACTTTCTTGTTAAATGCTTAATGAATCTTTTAATTTTAACAGAAAAATCCCACACTTACTTTTCAAATCATGCATGGGATACAAGATATCAAATTGACACAAGTAAACATACCTGCAAGGCGTAACTAACAGAAAGGCCGAGAATGGCACCATTAATGCCAGGGGTGACCAAACTAAACACTGCACTAAAGAAAACCACAAGACTGCTGACCACTTCAATCCAGACACCAAGCCATCTGATAAATAGATAAATTTCAAGTAGTTTTTACCTGGCAACTAATGTGTAGTAAAGAACATGGGTAAGTGTTTTTAAATCTCATTGTCAAATGTAAGAGTGGTTTATTTTTGATGAGCAAATTTTTATATATGTTTTGGAGGAGGATTCCAGCAACTTGCAAATTACAATATATAATTCTTTTAAGGTCAGAAATCACTTTTCCAGTTGTTTTCCACCACCACAAAGCCCCTTACACATTTAGATTCTCAGGTTATAGATTTTAACCCAAACCCCAACACAATTTAAGTAGGTATGGTTTCCTTATAAAGAAAAGCAATGATTTTACCTATTGGCTGTTATCCCAGCAAAGTAAAACACTTGGTTCCTATCAATGCGTTCAATGCAGACCTGACAAAACCTGTCAATGACGTTGAAGGCTCGAATCACATGGGACCCGGTCAACGTTTCAGAGAAGTGAGAATAAATCGGTGATCTTGTGATGGCCTCCAGTCTTTTCAGTTGGCGAGATGTTGGCACAAAGAAACGCTGGAGGTTAAGTAAAGAACTGAGTGAAAGTTTTCAATAAAAATGTTTGAAATATCAAGTAATGCTTCAGTGCACTGAATTTATACAGCAAATAAGTGAAACCCTCTCCTCAACACCAACCACTAAACAAAAGCCAACGTTTGAAATAAAAATGTTAAGCGTACCTATACAAAATAAAAATATTAAGAGTGAAAGCCATTTAAAATATAAGCGTGGACTAAAATAAGAATCCTCAACAAAAACTTAAAGGGAAATGTACATTAAATTAAATTTATAAAACAATTTGAGATATTATATTAAATTATTGGATTTGATATTTGCTTTATATATTTTTCTTACATATAAATAACTAAATAAGTCAAATATATAGGCATCATTAAGTCAAATTTAACTAAGTCAATAAAGAACTAGTGTATTATTGCACATTTAAAAAAATTGATTTCTTGTCAGACTTGGCATGTGGAAATAATGACAAGAGGTCAGCCATAGTTGGCTTTGAGTCAGAAGAAGTTAAAACTTTTCTACAACTTTAAGATTTGAATTTTTTTAGAAATTGTAATGTAGAGTTGGGGCCTTGAATTTTTCTACCTCTGTAGCTCTTATAATAAATTAATGAATTTTATATGCAAATCTTTATGAATAGACTGGAAAAAATATGTTTTACAATTAATGTGGCCTTTTAAAAAAGCTTTTAATGCATTTCTAACTGCGTCATACTAATGAGCAGATAACCTACCTGCACAGCCAGATAAGCCACAAAGAGGGGTAATATGACACTGGTGAATATTGGTGTGTTGATGCTAATGACTACAAGAGTAGCCAGAACAGAGAACACACACATAATCCACATGAAAATGATCTGAGGTAGCTGGTTGTCCAAAGTTTCCACATCTCGTGAAAAACGGTTTACGATTCTACCGATGGGTGTCGTGTCAAAGAAGCTCATGGGTGCCTTCAAGACTCTGTCCAACATTGAGGAATGCATCAGGGAGGCTGCTGCCACCATTCTGAGGGCACCAACACAGGCATACACGAGAACAAAGAAAGCTGCAATACCGGTATAAAATTGATGTTTAGCCAGGAAAAAGTTATAAATTTTATTAAAAAATCTTGATCTCATTTTTCACACTAACTCTTACTGTTACTATTTTAAAGCATCTATTTTGATTATTCCTCTTTATCCTCAATTGTATGCAACTGCAATACTTCCTCAACTTTATTAATACCTGGAATTTGTATTTAAAAAACCAATCTAATAAATGTATTTATTGTGACAAAATTATGACACCTAATTAATTGACCAAGATAAAAGACATGTACAGCTATGAAGATTGTAGTCTAATCCTGTGTTAATTCCATGCATTTGATGGCTACTACACCTACCTTGTGCTGCTCCTAGGGCACCATACACTGTCAGGTACTGGTGATTCTTCTCTCTTAGTTCCTGATATGTATAATTTCCTGAAGCAATTTGTTCATCTCCTGTCCACTCAGAAAGCCAAATGTTTGCCAGGACGCTGGCAACCTGGATCAGATGAAGTGAAAGAGACATGCTGATCAGATATCTTAAAACATGAATCTAGATGATAACTAAATTCAGCTAATTGCAGATTATGTTGTGGGCTGGGCTCCCACCATTACAGTTTTAATGGGCAAAAAATATGGATACGGTATACATTTATGTTATTTAACTGCTTGTGCCCGGTTCTCTTTATCTTATTAATCTCTACATCATCTTCTCGCAAGGCTGGTTTAGTCTCAGTTAAAACCCATTTTATATCTAGGATATTTGATTGACTTTACTAGGGTTTTTACATTTAGAGGATGTTCCAACACTAGCTGACACAACAGTCTCACTACAAGGCAGCTTTGACATAAGAGAACAAAATTGCTAAAAAAGTCCAATGTAGAGTTCTATCTGCTATTAGAATGCTCCCTAACAATTTTGTTTGTGTTTTTAAAAAAATATCCTTTGTGGAGTCCAACTTACTTGAAAAAGTGCAAACATCAGCACAATAATAACAGTTGAGCAAGGTCCAACATTACGGAAGTAAGTCAGAAACACTGAGAGTTTTACCTGCGAGACAAGATAGATCAGAAGTTGATTGAATTGTAAAAATTGTCTGATATGGATTTTTTTATTTGAAACTTGAAAATGGACCAAAGGAATTTAACATTTCAAACCTAATGGTAATAAAATTTTCAATTAATCCATTGCTTGTGTACAGGAGTATTGCACAATTTTTATTTAGCTCAATAGTTTTTCAGTCATAATTTATGAAAAACAATCAAAGAAGCTAATAGGTTGGAGAGTATAACATTTCTTTCTTTCTAGTGATAAGATCCTTGACAACCCACCTTTTACAGGTGCTGAGAATATTTACTCTATATAACTTATCCTACACCACCTACCGTTACAGTTTCAAAATATATTTACTCTATATAACTTATACTACATAACCTACTGTGCCTGTTTCTGTGGACTCCTCCTCTATGAGCCTAACAACAGATCCATTGCCAACTCCACCACCTGCCAACACAGAGGTCAACTTGTAGGGTTCAATCTTTTCATCCGTAGGGGTGGAGGGGTGAGATCCACTGCCACTGGCCATCATCTCTAATCTGACAATGTGAGAAGCTGACATTGTAATGTATCTGGATCAGTATATCAGCAGTTTGAGGTAAATAAACACATTTGATTTGATAATGGGCAACCAAAAAAAAATTGCTGACCGGATAAACAGCAATAAATGAAGCAAAGGTAATTTCACAAGTAAAACATCAATCACAAGTGAAACAACCAACCATGTGACAAGTAAAAACTACAGCACTTTCACACTGCTACTGACCTATTTTGATGGAAGTTCACTACATCATCACCTGACGTGTTGCCTTCTGATTGGCTAGTGACAGACTCCACATGCTCCCACATTTTCTTTTTCATTTCACGAACTGAGAAAACAATTTTTTTTTTTTTAATGTTTCATTTTTATGTCTGACAAGTTAGAGCCTATTTTATTCAAATTATATTCTCTAAACTATCAGAACCATTTTTTTTAAAGTCCGATTTTTTAAATAACAGTTAACCCAGTGCTAATTCAAAAAAAAAAAAAAAATTTTTTTAAAGTCCGATTTTTTAAAAAAAAGTTAAACCAGTGATAATTCAAAAAAAAAAAAAAAAAAAGTGAACACATAAGGTAAATCTCCTTTATTTACAAAAATATTATTGATCCTGCAATAGGTTCATTAAAAAAAGAGAAGAATATACCGTAGCTTTCATAAATTTTGATTTAAAATCATAAAGGTTTTGTCTGGTTTTAACAATCGATGATTTTGAGTAGATAATGAATCTTTTTTCTATTTTTCGCAATTTTGTATCCATTAAAAACATGTAGGTTTTGAGAGTCATCTACATTTTAGAACTTGAAAGGCTGGGGATGCTGGGTGGCCGAGTTGTCTAAACTGTCTCAAACCAAAAAGCTGGTGGTCTCGAGTTCAATCCCACCAAAGCCAACATCCCAAGTACCCCGGGTGGATGGGACTCGTTAGCCTTGGATGGCAACCCATCTAAAAGAAGGCAAACTCTGAATTTAAACCAGGAGCCAGAATGATCAACAAATTGATCGTGGGCCCCTCAAATATAAGAAGAAGCTGATACATCAGTACACATTATGCAATGATTTCAAAGTGATGCCAGTTTTTAGGAGAATGTATTCGTGTGATGTCCTCCTGTCCTCCTCAGAATTTCCTGAATTCTCATCATCTTTATCTAAGCTTGTAACTTGCCTTCTTCATCTTCCTCTATTTCTGACTCAGACTCTTGCTCTCGTCGTAGGTTCATCAGCAAGAACTGGGCAAAGTTACCATCTTTTTTCATGAGCTGAAGATATGAGCCCATCTCCGTGATGCGTCCTTCTTGCATGACAATAATTGTGTCTACCAGTGGGAGCCAGTGGACTGCATGGGTGGCCATGATCCGGGTCTGAGGGGGAGTATTTAATGAGTAAATCGGCATCATCAAAGAACATGTTCAATTACAAATGACAAGTTCAATGACATGCTTAACAACATATTCAATAACATATTCAAATAAAGCTAGCTTCAGAGGGGAGAGCTGCAGTTGTTTTATTGGCTCACTTTGATGAAATAATATAATAATCATTATTGATGCTTCAATAAATACCACAGACAGCTATGAATCACACAATACTAATTCTAAATGAATTCTTGGATTTTCTTAGTTGTTATAGGGCTGTAATAATAATCACTTTAAAAATCATCAACAGAATGCTTTGTGATAAGAAAATTTCATAATTATAACTGTCCCTCATACCTTATTTTTCAACATCCCTTTGTCTGATAAAACACGTTTGAAAATATGCTTCCCCACATGAGAGTCCACAGCACTGAGGGGGTCATCAAAGATGTAGAGGTCAGCATTAGAATAGAGGGCTCTGGCGATGCTCACTCTCTGCTTCTGGCCACCACTTAAATTAATGCCCTGTGGGTGAACATATATTAAATATTAATCCTAGAAATACTTCTGTCCAGCTTTATGTGGTACAACCTATTGACATGACAGAAGGACAAGAAATACTATACACGCATTATTAACGAAGTAAATATCATGAAAACATTGTAATTCTTGATCTATTATTTCTTTTCCATTCCCACTCATTTTAAAAAAAAATATTTTCAAGTTATTTTTTTGTTTTCTTAAAAGTTTCAACCTCATTCAATAATATCAAGTTTTCACTAAACACAGAAAGCCTAAAAAAAAGACCTGATTAATTTAGAGCTCAAGATGAAGGGCATTCAAGTAGTCTTGACATTTTAAAATATGTTAATAGAGCCAAGATGTCCATTTAAAAATAAGTTAAAATTAATGTTCACATTCAATTTTGGGTTTCTCAGCCAAGAGTCATTAATATGAGCCACAGCATAAATAAAGGTTACTTTTTCTCAAGTATAAAAGCATAAGTAAGGGTTGCTTTTGATTAGGTACATCATGGTGAAACCACTTGATAAACTGGTCCTCAAACTATTTCACCCAAGCACAGGACACAACAGTTTTCAACTCACAATTTTTAGCATTTTTTTTTTTTACCTTTTCACCTATTTCTGTTTTGTCCCCTCCTGGCAGAATTTCAAGATCAGATTTGAGAGCACAGGCATCAACAATTTTAGTGTACTTTTTATGGTTGTAAGTTGAACCAAAGAGAATGTTGTCCTGGAGTGAGCAGTTCTGGATCCAAGCTGTTTGTGGAACATAGGCCAAGCTGCCCTGGAAAAAAGTGGATCCCATTTAGTGCATTCACATTATGTGGTTCATTGTAAATAATTAGCTGATTGATATTTAAAAACATTTCTGACAAAATTAATTAAAGCATACAGGCTGCAGAGAAGTTTTCTTCTCTTACTAAAATTGTAAAAGTAGCATGAAGTTTTAAAACAGATTTATCCATACTTAGAATGAGTTTTGTTTCCTTCCTATATCCTTGAGTAATTCAATGGATAAGGTACAGAGTAATTAAGTTGGGGAGCCATAAAATAGATAACTAAGGAAGTAATTTGAGGTATCAGGTAATAAATACAAAGCATCCTGTATCTGTAAATACTTGATTGATGATACAACATTACTTTAAGTTCTCAGTTACTTCTCAGACTTTGTTATGTCCGCTAGTAATCCAATGGATATGCTATAGAGTAATTAAGATGGAAAGCCATAGAACAGAAAACTAAGGAATGAAAGGGAGGATGTGATCAGGTCATGAATACAAAGTACCCAGAATCTGTGAAAATGTAATTGATACAAAATTATGTTGATTTCTAAGTTGATTCTGAGACTTAATGACAGTGCATTTCTAATTACTATGAGCTAGGTTTATCATCTTTTAAAAAAAAATAATTTGGTTTTTCTTTCAAATTACTTGAAATGGCTTTTGGCTGACATATTTCCCCTCTCAAGTTTCACACACACCGAATGTTTCATATTACCGGTATAAAAAAAACAGTGGTACCGGTATAGACGTTACCGTATATCTACTTATGTATATATCAGTAATAAGAAGCAAATCAATTTCCAGGAGTTAAAAATAATGTGCACAGGCGTAGAGCAAACAAGTCTTGAAGTCAAGTTAGAAGACTCAAGGAAATAAAGTGACAAAAAAACAGTGTTTCAAAAATATAGAAAAAAGCAACAGATGAAGAATTAACATATAATACCAGTTATCATGGTAACGATACATACTGATGTGTGCACATGTCCCTGGATCCTATCAATTTCTCCCAAAATGGCTGACAAGATGGAAGATTTGCCACAGCCTACAGGGCCCACAACTGCCACAAAGTTTCCACTTGGAATCTCCAAATTGATCCTGACCAACAAAACAATAATATAGATTAATAATCAGTAATGATGGTTTGATTGTTATATAGTTCAACTAAGTATTTGAAGAGGCTTATTTAAGAATATTCTTAAGAGAAAATATTCAAGTTTAAAAAAAATAAATCAATTACAAGACAGGCTATCATTTAGTTGCCCTACATGACAAGCTATCATCATGTTGCCCTACATGACAACCTTTCATCAAGATACCCTATATAACATGCTATCCACAAGTTGCCCTACATGGCAAGTCATGTTGCCCTATATGACAGGCTATCATCAAGTTACCCTATATAACATGCTATCTACCAGTTGTCCTACATAACAAAGCTATCCACAAGTTGCCCTACATGACAGCCTTTCATCAAGTTACCCTATATAGCTTGCTATCCTCAAGTTGCCCTACATAACAGGATTTCATCAAGTTGCCCTACATAACAGGCTGTCATTAAGTTGCCCTATATAACAAGCTATCATCCAGTTGCCCTACATAACAGGCTATCATAAAGTTGCCCTGCATAACAGGCTATCATCAATTTGACAGGGATGATGTATTTTAGGAGTGAACAGCTCCTGTTCTCACCCACTCAGTCTGAAATTGGCCTCAGGGTCCCATGTGAAGATTCCCTTGTCTATGGTCACAGCATTATCTGATGAAACAAAACATTTAACATGAAATAACTACACAAGTCAGAACTCAGTTTTTGAGATGAAACAAAACATTTAACATGAAATAACTACACATGTCAGAACTCAGTTTTTGATTAGAAACAAAACATTTAACATGAAATAACTACACAAGTCAGAACTCAGTTTTTGAGATGAAACAAAACATTTAACATGAAATAACTACACAAGTCAGAACTTAGTTTTTGAGATTAGACAAACACCATAGATTAATAAAGCTACAAAAACAATACTGCCCCACATTAATTATATGACGTCTTAAATATTTATATATTTTAATATTTAAATTTTGATTAATTACAATTTTTTTTAAAAATCAAATTTCAATTATTAATAAATCTGTTGAAATCATTCTACAAAAATATTACCCTATGGCTAAAATTTGACAGCCCAGTTAAAAAAATTATATGAAATTCACAAAGTGTCTTTGCTGTACCAGGTCTTGCATGCGGACAGATGTGCTACTGCTTCACTCCCCTTCCTAGCTTGGTGACTTACCCTTCATATCTCTCCTGTCATAGTGGGACTTATCTAGTTCTGTCTGACACAAGTAGCGCCCTATCCTGCTAATGGACACACTTGCCTAAAATATATATATAAAAAAGACCAGTATAGTCTACAATATCTGAAAACATTTTAAATAAAACACTTCCCATGAGAAAAGTCACCAAGAAAGGTTCTTTAAAAAGATATCATTTCTTATTAAATATAATCAAATGATCAAGCTATAACTATTTCTTGAATCAATACCATCAGTTTTCATGTATAATCCAGACAACAACAAGATCCTCATTTTTCTCTATTATTTTAATATTTTTTTTAAACATTGGTCCAGAATACTAAGTTCCAATTATTTCACTGTATAAAACAATGATGTTACTGACCTGTGTTGTGAAAGAAACCATCTCAGGAATAAATGCTATAGGAAACTGCAGAATGTTGAAAAGTGCCAAGGTTACAAAAGCCATGTCAGCAGTCAATGGTGTGTCAGGATTGACAAGTAGAAAAGTGGCAAACGACACAAGGCAGACCTGCAATTGGGAGGTTTGGTAATATAATAATAATCCAACATTTCAGCCAGACATGATGTTCCAAAAAAATACTACAATGTTTTCGCTTTTTGTGATTCTGTGATCATTGTACAATGGCATAGTATCTGGATGTAATATGATGTAATATTTTAAGTTTTTTGTAGAAAAGGACACAATTTAATCTCTCCCTGTAAAGATTTACTGGTTTTAATAAAGTGTTCCAAGTTTTAATAAATTATTGCTATTTTAAAATAAGTATTGCCATCAAAATGATGGCAAAAATTAGACAGCTCTAGGAAACCCCTCTCATTTTACTTTAAATGAAAACTATTTCTAATTTATCATTAATATTTTAATTTCATTTTAATTGGAAATGTTCTTGTTTTAATTTTTTTCAACTTTAAAAAAATTAATTTATTACACAAGTTAGCCATATATATTTTGATAAAAAAGATTTTTATTTACCCCTGTCAAAGTTTAAAAATGAAACCAAAACCAAAACAATGTATATATAATATAACCAAAACCAAAACAATCTCTCACACTAATATGAAAAATTTGCTTACCCCACTGATTTCCATATAAACATCCAACTACATGAGAAAAATAACACTAACAAACATAAGATCTGAAGTATTGTAAGTCTTCACAGCTCACCAAATAAGGGGCACAAGTCCATATGAAGATACTTATAGCATTGAGCCAAGCAAGCTTGGTGAGCACATTCATCTCCCTTTGCCTGAGAGACAAAATCTTACTTTGAAATGATTCTTCCCATGCATACAGTTTTAGCACCTGCAAATGTATTCAAATATTTTATATGTTATACTTAAAAAATTGTCTTTTCTTAGTTTAAAAATTTGCAATAATATGCTTATGAAATGGAAAATACAATGTCATTTCCTTTTATGAGAACATTGTATTATGACTGACACTTAGGCAACTTATGCTATTTTGTTGCTCAATAAAAAAATCAAATTCAAGTATTTTTATATTAATTAGTGTATAGAATACCCTCTGTACAAGCAACTAACCTTTATCCCACCCAGGACCTCATTCACCATCTTGATCCTCCTATCTTTCCATAAAAGATTTTCCCTCTGCAGTCGTTGTTGTTGGTAGGCAATCACCCCGTTGAAGGGTACCAGCAGCATCAGTAGCCCAAGACCGGCCAACACAGGAAGACCCAGGGTGTTCCATAAGAGGTAGACAGCCAGGAATATCTGAAGGGAAATAGCTTCTGCTATTTATAAGTGTCACTTAGGCCTTCACTAAAGCAAATGGGGTCAGTAAATGATTTTGATTCAAACTAATTTATTATAAAGTGTGACCTGCCTGTAGTGGGATGGACCATATCATCCAAGTGTAGCTCATCATGTCCTGGACCCTTTGACAATCAACAGACATTAAATTGACCACTTCCCCTGTTGTACTAGACCGTTGACCATTGGTGTCAAGCCAGAGTCCCTGGAATTATTTTGTAATCTCATAGTTACTTTTAATAATTAATAGAAAATAAATAATTTCATTATGTCTCACAACATATGATTTAATCATTAGGAAATGCAGAAAATTATATCTTAATAAATTACATGGGTCAATAACAATTTTACCACTGAAAGTAAAACAAATGGCTTGTATGTAATTTAATGCTCTCATTCCAAATATGAGGTTCAAATCTGCCTAGCACGTCTGGATTTTAAGGTATGCATGCATTCAAGAAATATATATAGTATTAATAAAATGGCCGGTGTTGAGTAGGGCGACATTCACCCTAAGCATATTACACAAAAGGTAGAGCGCAAAGTGCTAGAAGCATAATTCATTATATAAAAGCGCAATGCTTTCTTACTCACATTAGCCTTTAAATTTTAATCTATCCAGAATGAATATTGCTAAAGTGGTTTCGGCAAAAAAAAATCAACATAACTTTTTAGCTATGACTTTTTAAAAAATTGATAATGTGAGTTTGAAAAAATGTCAAAAACAGGGGTGTATTAAATTGTGCATGCGCATAGCCGCAATAACAAATTGAGTCCTTGGAATCAGCAGTTATTGATAGGGCTCAACTCTCCCCACCCAGTCACTTTGTAATATAATACATTTTATACATTGGGAAATGATATCTGCACTGATGTTAACGATCTCATGTTGAACTTAGGTTGTGAATACATTCCTGATCAGAGGAGACTGTTCATTCATTGTATGCTTGTAATTAGTTTTTGTAGTGTTGCGTTTGTTTTAAATGTAGTAAATTATAGATTTGTTTTTTGTTGACTTTGTACAGCGCTTCGAGCCTTTGGGGATGAAGCGTGTTTTTGAAATGAACTTTATTATTATTATTATTATTCAGCAAGGTGAGCTTGAAAGCTGTGTTGTTGCACAATGATAATGAAAATGTATGTTCCTTTAGCTGACAATTGGGCCTCAAAGAAACATTAGATTCAATGAAACTCATTTTCAAAGTGATCAACTGCTCAGTACACAACTCTGTGCTGACAGGAAAGTGGTCGCACTTCTAGGATTTCATTTGGGGTACACACAATATTTGTTCTTTTTATGCTTGTGGAACAGTTGTGATGACAGCAACCATTTTAAAGTGAAACAGAGGTCTTCTAGATCTGAGCACATTGTTGGTTGGCACAATGTTCAACACATATCACGGGTTGATTGATTGAGGGTGTACTTACCAACACTACACATTGAACTGTGCCTTGTGAAAGATTTTACAGTAGCAATGGATCTTAATGAACAAGGTGAAATTTAGAGCAATCAAAACTGATGCTTAGCTGAAAGCTGGAATCTTTAGTGCAACAGAAGTCAGAGGTTAGATTAACCCACTTGAACTTTTTGCTTGGGATGCATGTACATTGGTCGTGCAAAACTTTCTTGTGAATCACCCAGCTCAGAACAATTTTGAACTCATTAACATGCAAACAGCCTGCACCCCAATCAGGCTCCTTGTGTCCCTAAAATGCATTTCTTACATTCTCATCTTGATTTTTACAACCAAACTTAGTTGTTGAAAGTGATGTGCATTTCATCAAGACATCTTCAGCTTGAAAACAAGCGCAAGAGAAGTGCCTAAAGCACTTTTTAAACTCATATAGAGTTAAGCTGGAGAAGAACTTTTGAATTGTATGCTTTCATATTAGTCACATGCATATATTTAAAAAGATTACCACATCAAAAAATTCTGTTTTTTGTATTGTTTAGGTTTAATAGATTTTGTCACGTTTTTATTAAGAATTACTTTGGATTTTTCTTAAATTAAAGAAATTAAAAATAAATTTCTTATTGAAAAAAAGGTTGAATTGTTATTTTAATTTCAAGTTATAAAATAATAAATAATATTTGCTTAATGTTATGACTACTCTGAGAATAGTCTCACGATTACATAAGCAAACAGTAGCTCTGTAATATTTTTGCATAATACATAATTTAGTTTTCCCCTGATGCTGCATAGCTTAAAATCCTGACATGCTACAAAAAAATCTGACTTCAGATTTGGGATCAGCATACCGATTAGAGATAACACACACAATAGATGCCCATTAGCAGACAAAAAAGATTTTGGTTGTCCAGTATTTAATAACACTATAAATTACTCATGTACTTTACATAAAGTAATTCAAAGATTTGTGAGAAGCCAAAAATAGATTCTTTAATTTTAAAGGCTTATTATTTTATATGACATTTAACATACAGTACCAACAAATATTTTAGTAATACACTGAACAACATTTTAATTTTTTTATTTTAAATAATTTGTTAAATTTAAATTAGTACCGTTTGGACTTCATTATAGCATCTAGGCTAAAGTAAGTTCAATGTGTCACCTTTTTGTAAATGGCAACCATCAAGGCAGTTTTCATTCTCATTCCAGATGTCATCGCAAGATGATAATGTTGATGATAAAATATAGTCTGACACCAGGAAGCCAGCAGCATCCCTGTTGCCAGGACGTAGCCATGCCAAGATGGCTCTGTGGTTAGGCCTTGAATGTGGAGGATGAGTCCTCTGTTATAGGAAAGAGATTTATTTGCAGTTGTCATAAGTTCCATATTAAATTAAATGGTCCCCATATTGTTAAAGTTGTTAAAATTAATCTTCCACCTTGTCTCCAAAACAGATACAAATTAATGACCAATATTTGGCTAAGAACTTACTTCAGTAAGAATGGACCAACAAATTGAAGGATGTCTGATATGAACTTGCAAACGTAGGAAAGGAAAACTTCCCAGCCAAAGGCCTTAACGATGACACTGAGTAGACTGCACTTGGTTTGTCTAGTGACCTTTGGCGGCACATCAACTTCTTCTTGCTTCTTGGACTGGGAGCGCCTCAACAGGGGTGCACGCTCATGAGTATTACCTAAAACATGATAGGGGAACTCTAGTCAATGAATAATTGTCGATTAGATTAATTTTTGGCTATAATATTTTAAAGCTTAGCATTTATATGCACAATTGAAAGCTTACGGAGTAGTATTATTGCTCAAGTCCATAGGTTTAACTAGAGAAATACACGACAGCAGAAAACTCAGTTCAGTGCACAGTGTTTTTGTTTTGTGCATCTTCATATTAGTCTATTATTTTGCACAGAGAAGCCATTTTACGTTCAAATCTATTTAATTCAATGAATTAAAGAAAATTGTTTTTCCTGTTCCAGTCATAGTCCAGCAGCTGTGACTCAAATGGTAAGACTTAATTAAGCCATTTTTTGTTTGGCAGCAGATTTTGAATCCTGTGCCCCTTTGATTGTCTCTTTCAACATCAATGCTTTAGATTATTTATTCATTATCCATCTATGACTCCATTTCACTGTCGTCTTTTAACATCAATACTTTAGATTATTTATCTATCATCCATCTATGAATCCATTTCACCCAGCTTTTTACCTTGGCTGGGTAAGCCCAAACATGCTACCTTTTTTATCTGATAGGCAGCCATGATTACCAAAGTGCAACAGGCTTATCACAGGACACACACTGGTAGTCACACTCTAACTCACCATTGCTTGACACTTTATCAGAGCCAGAGTGATCATTGTTGGAATGTCCAGATCCACTGTTCACCGACTGCCAACTGCTTTGATGATCAAATCTGAAGACATATTATCATAAAGAATAAAAAGAACCCATCATCAGTTTGCTATATGTCAAGAGATATTTCTTGGATCGATATATACTTGGAGATGGTACATCATTGCTTTATGGTGTACTCAGTTTAAGAAAAAAAACTAAAAGGCTGCTGATGTCAATTACCAAATGTACAGAAAGATTTTAACAACACAATGATATCAATTTTGAATTTAAAAAGTATTTTAACTTTTACCTCTTTATTGGATTGTAATGCAGCCAAGCCCTGTTAAATCTGGCTACTACAGTTTCACTGGAGTCGCGTGGATTTAAATGCCAAAGGTCAGCTGAGGTCAAAGGGCGCTTGTATCCAGTTAGTATAAGTCTGAAATGATCAAATGTGCCAAAATTTGAAAGATATTTTTTTATGTTAAAGGATAGACCTCCTTTAACACTTGCGGTGAGACGAGGTATAGTGATTAACAGTTACTGTCCCCTTCTTCTGCAAGTGTTCTTTAAATTTGAAATGGGAGAGGAATGAGGTGCTTGACCCCAGTGAATACCATGATACCTGCCCATCAACTGTGGTAGGCTGTCAGCAAGTGATGAGAACTAAATGTGTTTGGGTATAAATGCTCTCATAACACACTCCACAAAATGCTTTTTCTTCCTTATGACTAACAAAAACCATTTTAAATCTTTGCATTGTGAACCAGAAAGAATACATTCAAAGAAGTGCTGCAAAATTTGTTCTATTCCAAAAACATTGACATATTATTATGAAAGAATACATAAATTGTCTGATAGATCACCTTGTTATCCAAGAAAATGATAACTTGGAAGGGAATGATGCAGTGACCTCCGGGCAGTCTTTCTGTATCATTAAAAATGGAAACAAGATGTCAGGGTATTTTAAGACAAGATAAAATAAGTTTCTTTACTGATCCAAACAAATGGAAATGTTTTTTGAATACATTGTACATATCCCGGTATTCATTTTCAGCATATAAATAAATATATATTTAAACCAAGACAACATTTTAAAATTATAAAAATTAAACACAAGATATCTAGAGTATTTTTCTAGTGAAGAAATGAGCCATTTTAGTGACAATAATGACTTAAATAGTGATCATTTTGATTTGATAACCACTGTGGGAGCATGCTGGTAAATTCGTACATACTAAAGAACAAAAGAATTTGCATATCAAAAGAATTTGGTCCTAACTTTAAGAGAGAGAATTCACCCTGATCGAGCTGATCTTAGGTATCTATGATGAAGTGGGAAGGATGTATCATCCACATTTTAAAAGATTTACAACAGCATTTTTCTTCAAATAGTTCCTCAAGTGAAGGATGTTCAGTATGTGTTATGTTAGTACTT